TCCATTGGGAAAGAGAAAGGAAATGCTATGGCTAGTCTGAAGCACTGAGTGGGCAGCACATACAACAGCACTGCCTACCTTTCCCTCTCTGGGAGCTTTATTTGGACCTCTGTCTTTTACCCAGCTACTGCTTTTCACAGAACTTGCAAGAACTTAATTAATGGAAACTCTTCTGCCTTCCCGATCTTTCCAGAACAGTTGAAGTTATTCACTGACTTTTTAAAGTTAAGCGGGGAGAGCAGACGTTAGCCTCTCATTCTTTGGAAGCCAAACTGATGAATAACCTTGACCATACGTATTTTCTCTGGAAATACTCAGCATGTCTCTGCATTATTATTCTGGGTGAGAAAGGATGATTTCCTTTCTCTTTCAAGGAACATCAGAAGTACCAATTAAAGCTTACAGCAGTAAGACTTTGACGTGCATTTTCCGAACATTAAAGGTCTCCTGGGCAGCTAGCTATAGTCTTGGGCCTATAAAAATTTACATATTTTAATGTTGCATTTATTAGGATGAGGACAGTGTTTACAGAAGCTCATTAAGGTCCTTACTTAACAAATTCACTATGATAAAGCTGACATACCTGGCCACCAAAACACACAGTTATGATTTTAAAAGATTAGTCTCTGTCAAAATTAGGTGAGCTATGAAATTATTTGGTAGTCGGGTTAATTCTAGAAGCCAGATACTGAAGTATTATTTACACTGGGACTCTCCTAATCATCTGCTTAAAAATTAAGTGGCTTGTCTAGTCAGCTGTGCTTGCTTTGTAATCAGCGGCAATGGAGAGAAGCGCCTCTAAAAAGTGGTCCATTTTAGGATGGGGAGATGAATTCTTCATTGCAGATGGTGAATGGGAGGAAGTTTGAAGTGTCTCCTTCTCTCCATTAACTTTAAAGGCAGCCTAAATAGCTATCTTAGGCTAGATGCCATCGCATAAATAAAGTTACATGTGTCAGCTTTGTGATGGTAACAACAGAGAAGCCAGTGTGTCAGTGAATATGAAGTGTGAACTCATCGCTCCCTTCTCAAGTGAACTTTGCAATGAGGCAATAGGCACCCACCGAGCTCTTACTGCCTGTGTCCTACCCATGCGCTTGTGCCGGGGAACGGGAGGTTGAGGGCCAACTCTGACACCTTGTAGCAGGAGTTCGCTTCCCATAAAATCAGAGGAAGAAGTCTGACATGAAGATTTCTTTTAATCCCTTCTGCTTATCTACCTCCCAACCAAATACCTAAAACATCACACAGCCAAGAAGATAACACTGAGTGTATTTATACCTGGGTGGTACCCAGGGACCTAGGAATTTGTGATTTTTGCCTAGTAAGGAATGAGTGAAGTATGTCCAAGTAAAAACAAAGCTATTTTCATTTGATGTGCTGTCAAAAGAGAGGCAACCAATATCAAGATAAAACTGGCAGAAAAAAATGAATATATATACTCAGCAAACACTTAGTCTGTGTGACTTCCTCATGAGAGGC